TTGGGTATATTCAAAAGCCAAAATTTTATTGTGGTCGACATTACGGGACGGGAACTGGTAATAAGTTATGATTTCAAGTAAAGTTCAAGTAAATGTAATTATTGGCTTTGTGCATTGAAAACTGCGGGACTTTGAACTACAATTTATTGAACATAAAACCATCAATTCATTCCAAATAATTTCCATTATTATTGACGACTTCTGCCTTCTTTTATAAGCAATTTGCGGATTCCTCTTTCTTCGTAGGATTTTGGTTTTGAATCGAAAAACTTTCAAAGCCAATTTTTGACTGCTTCTTCCGAATCGAAGTGTTCTCTCGCAAGCTCGTTACTCATGATCCGGAATAAATAGTAATCAAAAGGGGCGGGGTCCGGACTGTATGGGGAATGTGCCAAAAGTTCCCAAACAAGGCTTTTTATTTTAGAGCGAGTCAGTTTTGTAACATGAGGGCGCGCGTTGTCGTGGATGAGAACGATCTTTGACTTGGTTGAGCACTTTCTTCAAAAGAAACCCATTTTGGTGTCAATAGAAAAGTTGTAGAGAATCAAAAATGAGGCTTATAGTCAAATTTCCAAAAAGATACATTTAGTAGTTTCGCTTAAAATGCAAGTTTTGTTGCAAGTTTTGTGAAAATTCGTAAATTTGGCATTTCTTGAAAACCAGTTTTTGAATCGTTCTGAGAATTTGGATATAAGCTTGATTTTTGATTCTCTACAACTTTTCCACTGACACCAAAATGGGTTTCTTTTGAAGAAAGTGCTCAAACTGACAATAGCCGGCAGTTTTCAATTCACCAATCCAATAGAAAATCATTTTTAAGCTTCAAAGTTCGATTTACTGTAAAGCGAGGGGCCGTTAATAGAATTATTGAGCTTTAAAAAGTAATAGAAAATAATCAGAATTCAATCTCAATCCAATTTCAATCTCACTTTCCTAGGTTACATAGCGATTGAGTATGTGAGCGGGACAATCGCACGAATGCCATGGCAAGATTTGAATGATGATGGGATACGCGAAGCGCTACGAATCATTGCCTCACTTGCGGTCAAATGTAATTACATTACGGTCGAATTTCGTTAGTGAACCGACCTCGATAGTAATCGGCTCTTTTTGAGGATCCCTGTGAGTTGATTTAGTGCTAGATCATGCCTCGATAGTGAGCAGTTTTTCAGAAACCTTTTTTCTATAGTTCACAAACGTTTTTCGACTGTATTTCAATCGAATTTTATCAAATTTTTTCAAATTCGAATTCCTCTGAAAGTAGCCGACTTTCAGCATTGAAAAACCGGAATTAGCGCAAAAATGGAACTCCCATGGCTATAACGCAATTCTTGAGGATCTCTGTCAATTGGAGGTTTCGTTTTTTTTTTATTTAAAACCGATCAATCATCAATTCATATTTTAGACAATGGAAAAACGATTAAAAAATTTTGGTGAAAAGTATCCGGAAGAGGAGAGAAATGTCGATTATATGTTGACAAAGATAGAAGAATTATTTGGGAGCTATGAGAAGTTCAAAGAAAGATCCCCATTCAACAAGTCGGTTCAACGTTTTTCTCAATAAAGTAACTTGAAACAAATTGATTTTTGGAAATCAAATTCTAAAACGAAATTTCCAATATTTACTATTGATCCTTAGGACATGAAAAACTTCAAAATAAAAAGATCATTGGGCTTAAATTTTTGAGCTCTAGTGTCAAATTTGTTGAATTTGTAAATGACAAATTTTCTTTCATTTCTAGATGATAAATCAAATAAAAATGACTGAACTTTATCAGATATTAACTGCTTTTTGATATTAACTTTGGATATTAACTTTGAAATTACCTTTTGAAATTACCTTTGATATTAACTTTGAGATTTACTTTGAAATTTACTTTTTGATATTAACTTTGATATTAACTTTGAGATTACCTTTTTGAAATTACCTTTTTGAAATTACCTTTGAAATTAACTTTTTGATATTAACTTTGAGATTTACTTTGAGATTTACTTTGATAATAACTTTGATATTAACTTTTTGAAATTAACTTTTGAAATTACCTTTTTGATATCAACTTTGAAATTAACTTTGAGATTTACTTTGATATTAACTTTTGAAATTAACTTTGATATTAACCTTGAAATTAACTTTGAAACTAACTTTGATATTAACTTTTGATATTAACTGCTCAATCAAATATTTTTCAGTGAAGCACAACACAAAAACACATATAAACAATTCTATTTTTTACAATTTTCAGCTCGAAAATTGGTATTCTGTCACGGGGACATGTGGGCACCAAATCTTATGCATCGAATTTGTAAAGAAACGGGTAAAGCTGAACTGGTGGCAGTGATCGATTGGCAGGTAAGGGGAAATGCTGATGAGGAAGAGGATTTCATTCATTGACGATGGTTCTACAAGTTTTAAGAACTGAATGACTCTTTGATTCCAGTTGCAACACATCGGCAGCCCCTGCGAGGATCTCATGTTTTTGATATTCAGTGGAACGAATCCGGACAACTATTTGAAAATGTGATTATCTTTTTCTTTTCTCGAAAACTTTAAATTCAGGTATGTGATTTATTTTGCGATATTTTTGGGATATTTTGAGTGAGAGCTTGACAAAGGAAGAGATGTTATGGCAGAGTTGCGATCAGGTTTGTTCAAAGAAAAAGGATAGAACTTAAAAGCAAAGACTACTTTGGATTTGGGAAAAACTAAAGAAAGCTTCAAAATGTCAATTCCATTACTAAACCTTTTATCTTTTTAGTTAATGAGCAATTTGAGCGTACTTATGCGGTTTTTATTTTGATGATGATCGGTTGGATGGCCGAGGGCGAAAATGAGCTCTTGAAGTCGACAAATCGTGAGGAATCTTCTAATTTTTCATTGTCTTTATTTCTACATTTCTTTCTTCTCCTTTCTTCTTCTTCTTCTCTCTTTCTTTCTTCTTTCTTCCTTCTTCTTTCTTCTTCTTCCTCTTCTTCTTCTTCCTCTTACTTCTTTCTTCTTCTTCTTTCTTCTTCCTTCTTTCTTCTTCTTTCTTCTTATCTTCTTCTTTCTTCTCCTCTTCTTCTTCCTCTTACTTCTTTCTTCTTCTTCTATCTTCTTCTTTCTTTCTTCTTCTATCTTCTTCTTTCTTCTTCTTCTTCTTCCTCTTACTTCTTTCTTCTTCTTCTATCTTCTTCTTTCTTCTTCTTCTATCTTCTTCTTTCTTCTTCTTCTTCCAAGAGTGAAAGATACCAAAATCCCAATCAAAATCCCAAAATTACAGTAGCTGATCTTTCAGCTCTTTCTCTATCGCTTCTAATCCGTATGCTATTTAGCTATTAGCTTGTCTTACAAATATAAATTCTTCCTAATCTCTAGCATTCTCATAATCTCAACTCGAATCTCAATGTTTCTATTTCAGATTGCCCAAATGAGTCAAAACTTTCGATCGAAAATCGTCTTTATGAGTCAAGAAGTGACAAGGTGTCTGAAGAAATGGTTTCCATAATAAAAAAATAGAATAAATGAATAAGTTTATCTGTTTGTTTTTGCTTTTATTTCTATGTTTATTGTCTGCTGTACACACGAGATTCACAAAGAGAAAATAAAAAAATAAAAATGAAACGAAATGAAATGAAATGAGAAAAATGGAGAAAGAAGTGAGGAAATTAAGTGACTTTTTTTTTGTTTGTGACCGGGGGTGATAGAATTGGAAAAAGTGGAAATGAAAAAGTGAAGAAGTGAAGAAATAAAGAAGTTCAAAAGTTAAATGAAAAGTTTAAAAAAAAACCCCTCAAAAATGAGTGTTTTTGTGGTTTGAAGAATTGAAAGAAACCCTCTAAAAGCGTCTTTTATTGGATTTATTCTGGATTCTGGATTCTGGATTTATTATTGGATTTTAGGTCGCATCTGGCTGCTTGAAATTGATGATAAATGGAAAATTTTTATTATAAAAAATAAGAAAATCATATTTCTTCTCGTTTTTTGGCAAATTCTAGAATCGTTTTCAGTGGATTTTGTGCTTCAAAAAAGGTTGTAAACACTTCTTCTCTAGCACTGAATTCTTGAATCCTATCATCACCACCAAAAGAAGAAGAAGAAAACAAGCTTCAGTCCACTAGAATGGGATTTCTTTACAATTTTCCAAGCACAAAGGATTTTAGGTCGCATCTGGCTGCTTGAAATTGATGATAAATGGGGAATTTTTGTTATAAAAAATAAAGAAATCATATTTCTTCTCGCTTTTTGGCAAATTCTAGAATCGTTCAGTGGATTTTATGCTTAAAAAGCTTGTAAACACTTCTTCTTTAGCGTTCAATTCTTGAATCCTATCATCACCACCAAAAGAAGAAGAAGGAAACAAGCTTCAGTCCACTAGAATGGGATTTCTTTACAATTTTACAATTACAATGCAAGCATAAAGTGCACAGGGAAACCTTTTTTCCTCGAAACTTTTAAATCCACACACTAATGTACTAAGTTTTAAGAAAAAAAAAATCCAGTAATGAGTGCACTAGGGAAGGTGTGCTTAGAAAGGTGTGTTTAGAAAAGTGTGTTTCGTAATCTTCAAATCTTCACAGACTAAAAGAAAAGATGAAATCTAATTAAATTGAACATTGAAAAACATTACAATTTTCTTCTTATCTTATAAAAATTTTTTTGCTTTTTTTAAAACCCTCAGAACACCGATTTCTTTTAGTCGAAAAACCAAAATGGAACTCCAATTTCTTTCCCAAAAAAATGAATCGGATTTTCTTTTCGAATTCCCCCCAAATGTCTCTAAAAAGAAAAAAAGAAAAGTAAATCGAAATTTACCGAAAATCCGAAAATCCTTTAAACAAATATGTAAAGTTTTAGTTTTTTCTTTTCATTTTCTTTCTGGGAAAGAAGAAATAATCAAATTATTGATGGATCTCTCAAGAATTGGAGAGCTATTTTCACTTTTATAAAGAATAGAAATAATATTCTCATAGAGAAATTCATAGATGATAATAAAAATCTTTTTTTTTTTGTCATTCATTCATTCATCCTCTTCTTCCTCTTCCTCTTCCTCTTCATATTCAGACTCTTCTTCAATCTAAAATCATTTTTGATGATCAATCATTCAGTCTAAAATCATTTTTGAGGTTAGATGATGAAAATGCCTCACTAGATTTCTAACCGTCAATACTGTAATAGTACCCAACCCCCCATAATGACGGTGCGGAGTGTTGAGTAGTCTAGCTTTGAACAAAATTTTTTTCGACACTGGTTTATGCTACAATGCGCGCTTAGGTATCAAAAAATAGCCCTGAATTTCAGCTATTTTTTGATACCTAAGCGCGCATTGTAGCATAAACCAGTGTCGAGAAAAACTCGTTCAAAGCTAGACTACGCAACGCTCCGCACCGTCATTATGGGGGTGGGGTACTATTACAGTATTGACGGTAGCTCAATAATAAGTAGATTTTAGAGATTTTAAAATAAAATCTGTAGATTCTTAGATAAAATCTGATCTGTAGTAGAGATTTTTAAATAAAATCTTATCCAAGAGCTTTCTAAAAATCGCCTTACTTATGTAATCAATAAAACTCACAAATAATCTAACAGACTTTAAACTTAGTCGATAAACAACCTTCGGTACTTGTCGGTTAGACATTCACAGAGACTCAACTCGGTCAAGCATCCCCATCCGAGTCTTCTCGGTTAACGATTTTCGTTCCACTGATCGACTGATCACTTCAGGCGACCACTCTACTTCACTGAGCATAATCACCCCTCAAAAGTTGTCAACTTCTTGCTTTACCGAGATGAGTCTGTGGATTCTCTGTAGATGTTGAACCGACAAGTACCCAATCTTCAGACTTTAACCGATAAACTTTGACCAAAAGTCTCCTGGCTTCCCAATCACTATCTCCCTAAACTCACATCCTCAACATCTTCTTCTTCCTCGTGTTCTCCTTGTTGAAAATCCTTCTTCTCTTCATTCTTTTCCTTTATTTCATCTCTTCTCCCATCTTCAACAACTCCAATAAACGGTCTTCTCCATGCCGGTCCATTATTCGGTGTGGATCGAGGTTGAGGCTTATTCTCTTTCATCTCATATGTGTAGAGACCCTAAAAGTGAATTCGTTGAATTGAATATTATGCTACTTCTTTCTAAAACTTGCGTCAATCTTTATCCAAAGACTAAAAAGACTAATATGAAGAGATTTTCTTCAAGTTTCTTCAGAATTCAATGGGATAACTCATTGATTATTCAGCGGGAAAATCTTATTGAAATGAAAAAAAGCATTGTTCACACACTAAATTTCTTTGTTCTTCAAAGAGAAAATCCAATCACTAACAAAAAGTTTATCTTTCAAATTTCTTCTATCTTATAAAATGGATACCGTATTCTCTCTAATAGTAGTGCCTGATTGTCGTCTAAATTACTCAAAATCTCAAAAAGCGCTTATTAGAACCGATCGATGTGGGGTCAGAAAATGTAGCTGACGATGAGATCTTGTGGGGGATTTGAGTGTTGAGCTTCTGCAAAAGCTTGGAAAGCCTATAGCCTGGATTCAGGCCAACAATCCAGATTTAATTTATGGTAACGCAAGCTGCTATCGCATTTTCCCAATAGTGCACCCCAAGCTTCGCCTAAATTGCTCGAAATCTCGAAAAGCGCTGATCAGAACCTATCGATGTGGGATCGGAAAATGTAGCTGACGATGAGATCTAGTGGGGGATTAGAGTGTTGAGCTTCTGCAAAAGCCTGGAAACCGTAAAATAGGCATCAACTCGACTCGGTGCGGTGCACTACTATTAGAGAAAATACGGTATTCTAATTGAAAAATTTTTTATTTATCAAGTTCAAAAGGTTCTATGCCTAGCCTAGCATACAAACAATGTGCTAAAAAGGTTTAAACTTGCTTATCCTCAGAGATTTTTCAATACTTTGAGACTTTAGGCTAGGCTGGCTCGGCGGGGTGCACTACTACTAGAGAAAATACGGTATTTTCTGTGCATTAGCTTTTACTTTTGAATTGAAGAATTTAAAGATAAATACAATATCTTGCGTAGAAAAGAGAAAAACCTCAATCATTCGACCAATCTTTAATCAAAAACTTAACCTTACTAGATAAAGATTAAAAAACTTTACTTGAAAGTTTACCACTTCTTAAAATTCGATTTCCTTTTATACAACTCCTTAAAAGCTATCGAAAATCATCGCTCATAAATGCACTCAAAAAATTTCGACATCTCCGTTTCTTTCCTTTTTCTACGAATTCCCCGTAAACAAGTCTAAAAGAGACAAAAAAGTTACTCCTTTTTTCAGCACAAAAATTATTGCTAAAGTTTTTACTTTATTTTTTTACTTTATTTTTTTTACTTTATTTTTTATTTTACTCATCTTACTCACATTTCACATTTTTTTTTCTAGAAAAATTCACTAACGAGTTTCATTCGAATTGATGTCTAATGAAGCAGAAAACAAAGAAAATAGTCATTTTGAAAATGAAAAGCAAAAAAAAAAATGGATTCTTTTAGAAATTTTTCATATATCCTTTGGTGGATATTGTCTTTTTTTTTGAGAGAGAACAATTCAGAGATTGATTGCAAAAAGAAATCTCATTGTTGAAAGTTTTTTTTTTTTGAGCTTGAGTATCTTTCTTGATGGTTTTCTTTAGATTCGAAATTGTAAGCAATTGTAAACAGTTGTAAGCAATTGCAAACAATTGTAAACAGTTGTAAGCAATTGTAAGCAATTGTAAACAATAGTAAACAATTGTAAACAACTGCAAACAATTGCAAACAACTGCAAACAACTGCAAACAATTGTAAACAATAGTAAACAATTGCAAACAATTGTAAACAATTGCAAACAATTCTAAACCCCATTTCTAGCACACTCAATCCTACAATGATCTATTTTTTTTGTTTGAATTTGTGGCAAAAAAAGCCAATTTTGATGTGAAAGATGAGAAAAAGGAAAAATTGGAAATGACCCTTTGCAGCTCATTTTCATTTCCTCAGTCTTTTCCTCTCATTGTCCACCTCATCACATTCTTTCATCAACAAATGCTATTTCTCATATGTCTTTTTTTACACATTCCAAGATATTCAACATACTATAAAATACCGTAAATTCAATCAAAAAATGATTGAAAAGTAGCAAAAAAAAGTCAATTTTTTATCATTTTTCAATCATTTTTTCTAAGCGCTGGTTAATGCTAAAAATATGTGTTATATCTCAAAAAATCACCCGTACTCTCTACTTTAATTTGATACTTAAATGTACAGAAACAAATGTACTGGTGTTGAGATGTGAGCGGTTCTTTGAGGCGTAAAGTTAGACTACGCGACGCTTCAATAGAGGGGGCTTTTTAATCGAGTATTTACGATATGTAAAATCGGGGGGGTAGTCAAAACAGCGCCATAATAGAAAACGTTCAAAACAGCGCCGTCAAATTTCTCAAAATCCAAAAAACCAAGCCGGTTCAAGTTTTATATCGAAAAATTCCTTGCTTTCTTGGCTACTTGATGGGTGAAACAGTTTTTAAAAAAAGTTAATATTTCATAGCTAAAAAGAGCACTCAAAATGTGTGTCGAGTAATACTCAGTTGGTTAACTGAATATCTTTAGGGACCCATTTTGAGTGCTCTTTTTAGCTATGAAATATTAACTTTTTTTAAAAACTGTTTCACCCATCAAGTAGCCAAGAAAGCAAGGAATTTTTCGATATAAAACTTGAACCGGCTTGGTTTTTTTGGATTTTGAGAAATTTGACGGCGCTGTTTTGAACGTTTTCTATTATGGCGCTGTTTTGAATACCCCCCGTAAAATCAAGTAATACGTTTTCTAAAAGTCACTTTCGGAAGCTTTCGTAATCTAGCTGTCAATTTACATTCGATTAGCCGAATTTTTAGTGTTTTTTCATCGATTTATAGAAAAATCGGCTAATTGAATGAATTGTAGAGTGTGTTCCTCGCGAGTAAGTAATTACTCGAGTAAATTTGCATGAGTAATTGTCGAGTAATGCGTTTTCTAAAAAGTGCGCCTGCGCGAAAAAAATATAAAAGCAATTTTTTGCGCAACAGGGTCATTTGTGCAACTCGCCATAACTTTCTTCTAAGTGGGTCAATCTTTATGGGTTTGGCTTCATTTTATTGTGCTTATTGAGATCTACAAAATGAAACAAACATCATAAAGATTGGCTTATTTAAAAGAAAGTTATGGCGAGTTGCGCAAACGACCTAGTTGCGCAAATGACCCTGTTGCGCAAATAAAATGGCGGAAATTAGCTAGGTTTTTCCAAAAAAATCATTTTTTACATTGGAAGGGAATTTGCCACCAAATCAGTTAAACGGCTGAGTATCTTTAAAAAGTGTCGTATATATTTTTGGGCTCGTCATTTTTTTTGTAATAATTTTTGCTAAAAGTACGGTAGTTTTTTTTCCAAGTGTGCTTTTTAAAAAACCCATTACTCGCGAGGAACACACTCTAGTGAATTGGATTATTATTTTCTGGGTAATTTTCGAAAATATTTAGATAAATAGCTGTAGCTAGTAGCTGCTAATTCGAAAAATAGCTGGCTGTTGGATTAGGGTAGCTTTCGAAAATACGCATTACTGTCGTGCTTTTTGGGGGAAAAGCTTAGCTCAGCGCTATTCTCTAGAGATTTTTTTTGTTTTTCCTTCAATAGTTCATCTACTTTTTTTGTTCAGTAAACAATAATTCTTATCTCGTTTTTTTATGTGATCGAATTAAACGTAAAAGTGACGTAATTTACCCCTAAAGAACCATTTGAAAATGCATGCAATTCTCTTTTAGCGAAAAAAAAAGGAAAAAAATTTCTCACACATCTAAAGGCTATTAAGGTACCTAAAGGAAAAAGAAAAGAGTACCGAGAAATCCCCTAATTTTTCTCAATTAGGAAAAAGGGGTACAGGAGGGACGCTCGAGGGATTCTCCTCGAAGATCCCTTCTTTATACACTGAATATCTTGTTCTCTTTCTCTCTTTTTTTTTCTTTTTCACAAATTTGTCCCCTCTTGGGAATGCAAATTTGTGTGAAGGGGAGTCTTCTTTTTCTTTCTTTGCCTCTCCTTTCCTCTACCCGGATTCAATGGTATTGTGTATATCCCTTTATCGGCCTCACTCCCTCACTAAAATCCCATTTTGATGAAATTTACGCACTTGTACAATGAATGGCCATCTTCTTCTAGGATTGACTAAAATTTGACTTGTTCATTGCTTTTGCCGTAGCTCTAAAGTTCGAATTTTGGTCAAATCTCGGTCGAAATTGCGTCTCAATCTACTCGTCACCATGGCCAACTGGCTAAGAGTCTTGTATACTATTCGGGAAGGGAGGGGAAGGGTCAAGGGTTCAATCCCGCTGGCTAGATTTAGATTACTAGTTAATTTTTCACCGTAAATGAATGTATTATAATTACATGTCATTCTATTTTTCCACATTTTCCACGGGGGAACCAAATGAATCAAAAATTTTTAGAATTCATTTAAAAACGGTTTTAAACGATTCCCCTTTTTTTCAAAAATCTCAAGACATCAATGGGTCAATTCACGAAACGACCCCATCTTTTTTTTTTTTCTTATCTACAAACAAAATCATTCCTTTTTGTCGACCTTCTGCATTAAACTGAATTAAACAAAACTTTAAGGTTTTATGTATTTAAAATATAAAATTAAAAGTATAATAAGTATTGTTTGATCCTTGAAATCTAATGAAGTATGAGAAATCTCTTGTTGTCTCAAAAAAAGAGCATCAAAAAAAAAAAAACGGCAGAGCTAATCCGTTGATGTCGTAATAGATTTTTTTTTTCTATTTTTTAAATGTTATCAAGAATGTTTTCTTGGTTTCTCAAAAGAAAATCAAATGCTTTTTTAGAATCTCGATAACAAATGAGCATTTTTGGTAGATTTCTTTGCAAAATCGCGTGCTTTCTTTTGATTGGCTTTTTGTAGTTACGATTGAATGAGTCAAAAGAGATTTATATTCTATTTTTCTGAATTTACATTTATTGTTTTAAATTTTTCCTTATTAAGGTAAGCTTTCTCTTGGGTTTTTCCTTTGTGCTTTTTTGTTCAAAGTGGAAAGATATGAGCGGTTCT